CTTCAGGCCCTAACAATCACACAAGCACATTCACACTCACACCCACACCCATACCTGTATGATGACTCCAGAGGACTGGTATTCCAAGGCCACAGCCCGAGAGAAGCTATTCATAAAGGCCTAGAGTGAGAGAGGGTGATCACAGAATTTTAGCATCAGAAGGACCCAGAGTACAGTTAGTGGAACCCACCCCTGAAGAGGAATCTTCACTACACCCTCAATGAGAAGTAGTCCTCCAGCTTCTCTGGAAGACCTCCCAAGATGGGATGCTCACTACCTCCCCAGGCAGCCTCCACTCTGGGGCAGCTCTCATTGACAGGACCCTTGTTCTGCCCTGCACCTCATTGCTCCTGGTTCTGCCCTCTGGGTTCGAGAACAAGACTGGTTCTTGTCTACATGACATTCTTCCAAGTCCTGGAAGAGTTCCCAAGTCCTGCATGAAGCCTTTTCTTCTCCTGGCTAAATATGCCTGGTTCTATAGACCAATCAAACAGCTAAGAAGTATTTAATAGCCCACTCTCTGCAGGGGTTCTTCTAGGCACTAAACATAAGATAAAAACAGAAAGCCAAAAACAAAACAAAAACAACCAAAACAATCCCTGCCCTCCAGAGGCTTCCATTCTATCCTGAGAAACATGTGTCCATATGTATACATATCAAACATATGCAGCTAGTGGCCCAATGACAGAGTGCTGGATCTGGCTTCAAGAAAATCGGAGTGCAAATCCTGCCTTAGACATACTGGCTGTGTGACCCTGGGCAAGTCACTTAACCTCTGTCTCTGTTGGCCTCAAATTCCACATCTATAAATGGGCATAATAAAGAACCACCCCCAAGTTTTTGTGAGCATCAAATGGGATATTTTTAAAGTACATTGCAAACCTGCAAGTCTTATACAAATACTAGTGACTATTGTTTATTTAATACCAAGTAATTGATAGGTGAAGCACCTGGGGCAGTGTGAATGATCAGAAACGCCTCAAGTAGACAGTGCCAATTGAGCTGAGCTTTGGAGGAAGCTGGAGATTCTAAAAGCTGGAGGTGAGTAGGGAGAGCAGGACAGAAATAGAGCAGGTGGGGTGGGTGGGGAGTACATTGTCCTCTGTGGGCAGCAGCAGGAAAGTCAATTCTGCTGGGCTCTAGCATGCATAGTACATAGGAGACCACATAGTCCAGCAGCAAGAGGGCTGGATTCAGGCTGGCCTCAAATCCTATTTCTGAAACCACTTTGTGACCATGGGTAAGTCACTTAAGCTCCCCAGGCCTCAGTTTTCCTCTGTAAAGTGAGGACAGTTGGACTAAATGATCTCTGAGGCCCCTCCAGTTTAGAGCAATGATTAAATCCCACCATACTACTTGCTACTAGCTGGATGATCATGGGTGAGTTACTTCTTTTCTCTCGGTCTCAGTTTCCTCACATGAAATGAGGGACAGCCTCTGAGGGCTATTCCAGCTCTCCATTTCTGATCCTACTGTGCTCATGAGTAACAATGCTGGAAGGAGTTGCAAGCCTGGCTATGAAGGTTTGAAACACCAAAGAGGGAGTTTGTATCAGACCAGATTCAAGGTCCTGCTGGTTCCCATCAGCACCTTCTCCAGCTCATCAATGTTCCATCTAAACTGTGGCACAGCCTAACATTGCCTCTCTTCAGGGATAGTTCCCAAACTTTGTAATTCAGTCATTTCAGTCACCTCAACTCTTCTTCACCCTCTTGGTCACAAAGAGTGAGACACTACTAAAATGACGATTGACAAAACTTAGCCGCAAAATGGCAAAGATACTGGAGTGATTTGCCATTTCCTTCTCCAATTCACTTTACACATAAGGAAACTGAGGCCAATAGGGTTAAGTGACTTACCCAGGGTTACATAGCTAGTAAGTGTCTGAGGCCAGATTTGAATTTAGGAAGGAATCTTCCTGACTCCAGGCACTGTAGTGCGCCACCTAGCTGCCCTATGGTTCCGAAACAATAGAGGAATTTTTCCACTGACCTTGACAATTTCCTGTGTCATTCAAAGTCTGGGTCAGATTTCTCCTTTCTAGGAAGTCTTTCCTGACCACCCTGGCCCCCAGGGCTCTTTGACCTCTCTCAGCTTTTCCACAATGTTTCTGGATCAGATTGGCTACCCTTCCCACCCTGACTCTTCTAGGAAGCCTTCCCTGCCTGAAGGACCCCTCCAATGAGGTCACAAAGAGTTGGGCACAACTGAAACAATTCAACAGCCTATTTCTTGCCCATGTTCTTGCCCAGGTTTCTCTGACTCTGGGTACAGCACTCTACCCACTGCACTATGTAGTCTCCTATCTATGCCACACATACTAGAAACCAGTGGGATTGGCCTTCTTGCTACTGCTCACACAGGCTCAAGGAGCTTCTATTCAATCTAGAGAGAAAATAAATCCCTAAATATTTGTTGTTATTTTTTAATCTTGTCTAATTCTTCATGACCTCATTTTGGGTTCTCTTGGCAAAGATACTGAAGCAGTTTGCCATTCCTTCTCCAGCTCATTTTAAATGAGGAAACTGAGGCAAAAGGGTGAAGTGACTTGCCCAGGGTCCCACAGCTAGTGTCTCAGGCCAGATTTAAACTCAGGAAGATGTCTTCCTGACTCCAGGACAAGCCCTCTGTACACTATGGCACCACCTAGGGTCCATATTCCCAATAAACCTCATCAAAATCAACACAAGGCCAGGTTGGTTTTGGGGGTTTTTTTGAGTGGAGAGTGTGGGTGGGGAGCCCAAGTCTGAGAGGCTCAGAAGAAGTTTCCCAGTTTGGTGAACAGGCCTCATATGGCATATCCTCAAGCCCCTCACTATCCTGCTTGCATTTCTTTGCATGTTTTCCTATCAGTTTTCTTCTAAAGGGTAGTGCTCACAGTTGACTGTGAGAGTCTTGATGTGGTGCTGCCAGAAGAGTACAGAGAGATACGACTGCTCACCAGCTTGTTCCTGGAGCCAAGATCTAGTTAGCTTTTTGGCTGCTATCACAGTGATACTAGATACTGAGCTTGCAATCCATTGAAACCTCCAGTCTTTTTCAGATAAACTGTTGTCCAACAAAAAACTGGATTTCTGCACCTAATGTAAAGCTACATTCATCCCTCCATAGTTTCATCTTATTAGCCTCCACCCAGCCTGTCATGATCCCTTCACTTCCTGGCTCTGTCATCCATTCTTGTTGGGGGTGGGGTGGCAGTAACCTGGAGAGAACACTGGAGGCAGAAGGACCTGGCAAATGCAGCTTCACACACTTCCTAGCTGTATGACCCTGGCCAGCTCACTTCAACTCTATCTGCCTCAGTTTCCTCATCTATAAATATGCATAACAGCAACTTCCCAAGGTTGTTGTGAGGACAAACTGAGATAATCTTTGTAGAGTACTTAGCACAGTGCCTAACACATAGTAGGCACTATAAAATGCACATTCCCTTCTCCTTTCCCTCCCAACTTTGGGTCACACATTGAATAAACATTTCATCTTGCCTTCATCAAGTCAATGATTTAAAAAAAAAACACTTAGCAGAATAGGCCCAAGCACAGATCCCTTCTGGCACTCCAGGAGAACTCTTTCCAGTTGATATTATCAAACTATAAATGATTAACTCTTGATCTGGTCATTCTAGTGATTTGAGACTCCTGCACTTAATACTTACAATAGTTAGCATTTTTGTTATGCTTACTATGTTTCAGGCATTTCACTAAGTGCTTTACAATTATCTTCTCATTTGATCCTCAAAACAACCCTTGGAGGTAGGTACTATTATTATCCCCATTTTACAGGTGAAGACACTGAGGCAAAGAGAGATTAAGTGACTTGCCAGGTCACATAGCTAGTAAGGCTCTGAGTTCCAGACCTAGCACTCTGTGCATGGCGCCCCTAGTGGCCTCAATCAAGCTACCATCTAGCCACATCTCTCTCTTTTCCACATCATGAGATATATTATCAAACACTGGGTGAGACCCAGGTAAATGCTATCTATTGAATACCCTTGATCTCTGCTAGTTTTGCACCTGTCCTAAGAGGAAATAAGGTTATTTTGGCAAGACCTGTCTTGCTGCAGCCTGCTGGCACTCTGTGACCACTTCTTCCTTTGGACACGGTTCCCTTTCCTGGGGTGACAAGAAAGGCTTCTGCCAAAGGAATTCTGGAGCCTCAGGACAAAGGATATGGTAGAGTGAGAGGTCTCTGGGGTCTGCTCAGGGCTCAGAACATAGAATGTTAGAGCTGGGAGGAGAAATGTACAGATTGAGGACTTTAGAACAGGGAATACTGAGGAGGGGTACATTAGAATAGGAAATGACAGAGCTGGGAGGGACTTTACAACAGAGTGTGTGAGGGACAGGAGGGGCCTTAGAGCATAGCATGCCAGAACTAGGAGGGAGTGGTCAAGATAGTAGAGTTACAGACCAGGGACCAGCTGAACTCTCCCAACATTTCCTGCCAAACAACTTTAAAATATTGCCTCAAATCAAATTTTGGAGCAGCAAAGCCAACAGAAGGTCATAGGAAGACATTATTCCAGCTTAAGACAACTTAGGAGGTCAACAGGAAAGGTCTGGAACCTCGGGGTGGATAAAGGCCCAGACTGTGACAGGGGCACCCAATGGTGGGTCTTGCAGCTGATTGCAGTGACAGTGGCAGCTTTGGGAGCTCTCAGCACACAGATGGTAAGGGGGGTGGCACAAATGTCAGAAACAGATTACAAGGGACCTTTGGGTGGCACTGGGTGATTGGCAACTCTATGGCCATTCACAGTTCTGGGTAGCAGTTCTAGAGTGGATAGGAGTGCTGGTGGTCAGTCACAAGGGAGGGACCTTGGTCACAGTTCCAAGGCAAAGAGAGGGTAGTGCTTGTGGCTGCAGGAGAATTGGGGACCTGGTCACAGTTCCAGAGTGGTGGCTCTAGGGGAGCAGGAGCCCTTCCTGGGTCAAGCCCAGAGAGCAGATCAAGAAAGCAGTGACCACACCTCTCCCCAGATCATACCACCTTGAAAGAAATGAAAATTTAGAGACTCTCACAACTAGCTCTGAAACAGAGAAAATAAAACAGCGCCTCTCTACCCCAGGAGAACAGAACCCAACTTTAATGTCAGTTTAAAGTCAAGAAGTAGGCTGGAAAAATGAACACACAACAAATTAAAAAAACCTTGACCATGGTGGAGGGAAGACCAAACAAACTTAAAAGAAGACAACAGTGTATTTATATTAAATTTTACAAGGTTAAAAAAACTAAGAGGGACCTTAGAACATGCAATGTCAGGCCAGAACAGAGAATAACAGAGCCAGAAGGGTCCTTAGAATAAAGAATATCAGAGCAGAGAGGAGCCTCACAACAGAGAAAATTAAGGATGGCTTTAGAGCAGAGTAAGTCTGAACTAGGAGAGTCCTTAAAGAAGGGATCATCAGATTTGATAATGTTATTGGAACAGAAAACATCAGAACTGAGAAAATAGCACATGAAAGATGAGAAGGCCCTTAGAATATGGAATATAAGAGCTCTGGGTGGGATTGAGGAGGTAAGAGAGTGTATGGTAGCCTAGAACAAAGACTGTCAGAGCTGGGAGGAGACTTAGAACACACAACGTTAAAGCTGGAAAGTACCTTAGATTATAGACTGCCAGAACCCGGAGGGACTTTAGGATACAGAACGAAGAATCTCAGAGAGGAAAGGGCTTCCACAGAACATGTGGATGTTACAGAATCCCAGAGTCCTCAAGCTCGAAGGCATCCCATCTAGAAGGCATCTAGTACATCCCACACGTGAGGAATCCCTTCTATAATGCAACTGACCAGTGGTCACCCAGTTTGACTTTTAGTGAGGGACAAACTACTGTCTTGCAAAGAAACTCATTCTATTTATTTAAGGCTCTGATAGTTAAGAAGCTTTTCTTGGTATCATGTCTATATTAATTGTTATTGAGTTGTTTCGGTCATGTCCAACTCTTCATGAGCCCATTTTGGGGTTTTCTTGGCAGAGAAGCTGGAGTGGTTTGACATTTCCTTCTCCAACTTATTTTGCAGATCAGTAAACTGAAGGAAACAGGGTTAAATGACTCGCCCATGGTCACAGAGCCAGTGTATGAGGCCAGATTTGAACTCAGGTTTACCTGACTTCAGGCCTGATGCTCTATCCACTGTGCCATCCAGCTGCCCCAAGTCTAGATTTGCCTCTGCAACTTCTACCATTATCCCTGGATCTACCCTCAACAAAAAGAGTAGAATTGCTTTTCCATATGACAGCCCTTCAAATGCTTGGAGACAGCTCTCACAATGCCCTGGCCTCCAGTCACTTCTTCCCTTGGCCAGACACACCCAATTCCTTCAACAGATCATGATGTGGTAAACACCGAAAGACAGAATGGAACAGAGCCAATCTCCCTTCCCTCCCATGGTTTTACTACCACCTTGATAGCGATGACTCTCAGAATACAACCTTTAGCCCTGGCCTCACCCGTGAGCTTCCTGCCTGTTGCCTCCACCTGGAGCATATCCAGAACCAAGACGACCTTTTCCTTTACCCCATGCTTCTTTCTGACCTTAGTACCGCCATGCAACCATTCTCTGATAAGAACCTTAGGGTTAGCTTTGCTCCTTCCCTCTTCCCTCTGCTAGGATCCAGTCAGACCAGGTCTTCTGCAGTTCATATCCTTGGTATCTTTCCTATCCCCTCCTCTCCTTCTAGGGCCACTACTGTGGTTTGTGCTCTTACCACCACCTGTTTAATTCATCAGAAGAGCCTTCTCACAGATGTTCCTAGGTGCACTCTTTCTCTCTACCCATCTATCCCTCAAATTTTACTCAGGATCATTTTGCTTATGCACAGATCTGTCTACATCAATTGCCTCCTCAGAAACTTTTAAAGGCTCCTTGTTGCTATTAAGTAAAATGTAAATCATCCTCTATGTCCCAGCAGAAGGAAAGCTTCTTTCACCGAACATACTGTCATGTGCTTGAAGACATTTCTAGGCCAAGCACCCACAGCCCCTCCAATTAATGCCTGTATTTCCTAAAAATCTCACTCCCCTCAGCCCTCTTATGGATCTTCTGGACCTCAAAATATTCTCTTCTTGCTATCTGCTCTGGAAACTTTCCTCAGCCCCTGGGACCTCCTCACTCTAGAGCATCCTTCCAACCTTGCTGCCTGCTCACCATGGAATATTCCTCTGCAAGGGCGTTGCCAGATCACTGACCAGTTCCAGCTGGAGTCTGCTTTTGGTGGAGATGCCTAGACTGCCTCCTTTTTATATTCAGGACTTTCTGGATTTAACAATGATGACCTCCCCATTCCCAAGCCTAGGGCAAAGATTGTTATCTTGCTTGTACATATCCCCACTGCTTATCACAGAGCCTAGTGAGACTTTAATAATTCCTTAATGAACTCTCGTGTCCTTCCCTCATGTGGCAAGCTTTGTCAGTGCCAAAAGGCAAAAGTGAACCTCAGCTTCCATTGCTATGTCCAAGGAGGCTCCTGGGGCCGCACTTGGTAAGGGGGCACTCAGACTTTGGCTGGTTTCATTTTATTACTCTGTGAGGCCCCCCATTAAGAAAATTACTGAACCCACAGTGGTGGTGGGTGAATATGGGTGAAGGGCTTAGTATCTACTCTCTGGTTTTATATACACTAGAACTGAAACTCAGAAAGCTGGTTGCCCAATGACTTTGAGGGAATCAGGGATAGAGGGGGCACTCCCACCACCCCACTGCTCTCAGCTCCACATGGGACACTCTGTTCATTCCATCCCCATCTCTGAACCTCTTTCTTCTTCCTGGTAACTTGAAAGGGTCTGGGACCCATTTACCTTAGTAGCCCCATATAATGCCGAGAATGGGGAAGGCTGTCTGCCAGCCTCAGAGGATATGTTGATGATGACTCCTCGTCCCCTGCAGAATCGGAGAAGAAAACTGAGAATGGCAGAATCAAAGGCAAATGAGTGTCTGGGGGTGTGTGTGAGATAGGCGAGGAGGTCAGTATGGATGGGAAGCAGGCCGTAGAGATGGGGAGAAGGGGATGCCTGGGCCCCTACCTGACTACCATCTGAGGCAGGATGATCCGGGTCATCTGTGGAGGAAGAAGGCTAAATCTACCCAATGATCCACCTTTGGCATACTGCCTGAACTCTCCCCCATGTCCCTCCCTCTACTCCCTTCCATCCCCTGCCAATGATGTTTCTTGTCTCTTCTGCCTCAGTCTTACCTGAACCATTGACAGCATGTTACAATTCATCATGTCTGTGAAACTCTGGGAAGACAGAGGACACCTTTTATTTTTCATGGGCCCCAGAGTCTCTCACTTCCCCCAAAAGCAACCTGGCCATGAATTCTCAGGTTGGAGTTTGCTGAGACATTAATGTCTTTCTCAACCTTCAAGGCTCCCCCCACCCGCCCCCCCATCAAGGTCCATCTCCTCTAGGAAAATTTCCTAAGCACTCAAATCCCTCCCCCCAAGCTTGACCAAGGCCCAATTAAAACAAATATACCACATTTGTAAATAAATACACAGACAATAAATAGACTTAAACTGGAACAAATTGTCGGAATTTTCAAGGCAACATTTTCTCAACATTGGTTATTATTATGGCCACAGAAGCAAGGGGAGCTCACATTTCTGACCTGATTTAAATTTAGAAAGCACTTTCTGCCTGTTAGAAAGGTGGCAGAGTTGGGGGTGGTGAGATAGAAGGTAAGATGGAGTAATGAAGGAAGGGGCACATAAAGAGGGCAGAATTAAAGAGAGGAGAAGAAGAGATGGAAAAATGGAGAGAAATGGAAAAGGGCATGAGTTGGGCGGGGGTGGGGGGATAATGTAGCTTCCTCTACCTTGCCTGATTCTTCACATCCATTAGCTTCTGGGGATTATCTTGGAGCTACTCCAACATTGTTCACTGGAAAAAAATCAGATCAGTACCACAGAGCAAGGGATGAGAGGAATTCTGGGGCAGGACTGAGAAGGGAAGAGGAATGGGTGTGTACCTAGAATGCCGATGTCTAGGCCCTCCAAGCCTCTCTCAACTGTCTCATAGATCTCTAAGCCTCCACTGAAGTCCACCTGGATGACTCTTGTTTCCTTACCATGGAGTCTCTCTGTAGGAAAACTCAGAGAATTCAGAAACAGAAGCTTAATGCTGCTCCTTATTATATAGATGAGGAAAGGCCCAGAGAACACATGGGACTGACTGGCTCAGGCTCACACACAGCCCGTGTCTAGCAGAGCTGTGTCCAACCTGAGTCTTTTGGGTTCCAAATCCCACTGTGGAACCTTGACCAGCCTCACTTCTCTCCCATGGCCCTCCTTTCTAGTGCAGCCCTCACCAATGTCCTCTGCCTCCCGACGTAACTTGCTGAGATCTCGGCTCACCAGTACAACATTGAGGCCTCTTCGGGCCAGCTGTATGGACACAGGAGAATGGGGAGACTGAGGGAGTGGGCACACAGAACCTCCCAAACCTACAGAAGACTCAAGAAGGTCCATCCAAATAAGCAGGCGTGCATAGGACAAAGAAGGATGTGGGGAATTCATAGGAACCCCTGAGCAGAAACACTCAGGACAAATATGGATTTACTTGTCTGTCTGTCTTTGTATCTATCCTATCTACTTCTCTTTCTATCTATTCATCTTTGTGTATGTGTATCTATTATGTATATACATTCACATGTAACATTAATTACACATTTATATGTATTTACACAGAATCCCCCTGCAAACACATCCTGAGGCTCTAGAAAATAATCAGGGCACATAGAAAAGAAAGCATATGGAAAAACACCGAATGCATGGGACCATGTATGTGGAATGCAATGGAATAGAGATGTGGGGCCATGTCCAGGTATACTAAAGACAGATTCAGTTGGCCCCAGGCCACCCCCCCACTTACCTCATGAGCATAGCTCCTGCCGATTCCGCTTGTGGCCCCGGTTACCACTGTGAGAGAGAGATCTGGGAGTCCCTGGGGGAACCCTCTGGAGGACCCACCCAATGGGAGATCCCAGGAAGGGCAGGAGAGAGCCTCTACTCTCCACCTCCTCCTTCTGAGTTCTACTCCGTGGCCCAGGAATTGAAAAGGACTTTAAGTTTGTGCAGTGGACTCAACCTGGAAATGGAGTCTGCACAAGGGAATGTGCTTGCAGGGGCCTGCAGCCCTAGGGGCTCCCTGAATGTGAGCACCATACATATGCAATACTGAGATCAGAGGACCTCAGATGTAAAGCCTCCCAGGACTCTGGAAATCATTTAGTCCAGCTGCCCCAGTGTTAAAAAACTACAAAAACAAAAAAAGCCACCCGAGTCTCAGCCTCCTCGGGTTACCCATGTCATGGAATCAGATTCAAGGTTCAGACAGACCTTGGGGCCCCTGGTCAGACACTTATTTTATAAACAAGGAAAGTGAAGCCCAGAGTGGAAGTGACTTGCCCGGGGGTCACAGGGGGTCCGAAGCAGCTTGACTGAATTTTGAATCCAGGTCCTGGAATCCTCCATCCATGGTCCACAGACTCTTCTGAGGCAGCAGGTCACAGGACCCCTATCATCAGAGCCCTTGCCCCTTCCTCCCCTTGGGCCCTTTCCCTCCCTCCTTCTCCCACACACCTGCCCAGGCCCCTTGTTCCTGAGAGAAATGCCAAGGCCCAGGCCAATCTGGGGCAGCCCATAGACCAGCAGGGCATGGCCCAGCCACCAGGCTACCCGCAGAAGCCACCAGGTTGCAGCCACAGTGCCGAGCATTTGGAAGGCTGAGCCACCTAGTTCCATCCACGACCCCATCTGGACAGGACAACCTGGAGGTTCTTCAGGACAGCCTTGGTGAGGGGCAGGCTCAGCTCTACAGAATCCAGAGGATGAAAGGCCACAGGATCACCCAGGTCCTAAGGTCTGAGGGGGGAGGGGTCACCTGGCAATGAAGGACTGGTGGAACGCCCAGGTGGAATGGTAACGGGGCGGGGCCGGCCAGCCTAAGACCTGGCATGGAGGAACCCTGGCATCCTGGAAGGAACCACAGCGATGCCTGGTGACAGCATTGGTTGTACATGATGGGCAGGGATTTTGGGGACTGTGCTCTGTGCCCTTCCTCCCACTGTATCCCCCATCCCAAGAACACTCGGCCATCTCTTTCCAAAGACTTTATTGAAACGTGTAGAGTATAGAGGGTGAGGCAGCTTCCAGCTACAGGCCCTTCCCATCCCCCAACCCAGTGGAGGCCCTGGAAACCGAGATCTAGGAGCACTGAGATGGCCTCTACCAACTTCCCAAGGAGCCATCAAAGGACACAAGACCTTGGGAACCACAGGGGGTGGGACACAGGTGAGGACGCTGCTCCTTCACTATGCCCAGGGCTGGGTCTGGCTCAGCAGGAATTGGATGTCAGGCAGCAGGCAGAAGCTGGCTGCAATGTCCAGTGCTCGCCAGGGCGCAGAGGTCGCTGCCAGCCAGGCGGATGCTGTGGGCTGCCGCCAAGCCCATGGGCTGCCAGGCCGGCTACATCGAGGCCAGCTTGCCAGTATACACCATGCACCGTGGCGCTCACGTCGTGGCCCAGGCATATTGAATGACTGAGCCAGGCACCAGACCAGTGGCTGGGAATACAAAAAAAAAAACTCGAAAAACCCCAAACACTTCCCAATTCTTGCCATCAGGGAGCTTATATTCCGATCTGGAAGACAGCAAGCCAATAATGTTGCACGCACAAATGTATGCTAAACAGATGGAAAGTGCTCTCAGAGGGAAGAGGTGGATGGGGTCGGAAGGGACTTCCTGCAGAGCTGGGCTATGTATCAGTACTGTCCCAGGCTCTGGGGATACAAGGCACAGATTGTAGAAATGGGAGGTTTAGGAGGAGGGGTAGGTTGGAGAGGAAATCAGTTCTATTAGGATTCTCAGCTATGGACATCCAGATGGAAATGTCCAGCAGACAGTGGTGATGTGAGCCCGGAGCTTGACAGACAAATGTGGGCCACATATGGGAGTCATCTCGGATGTGGGATGATCACTTGAGCCTTGCAATGAGTTATTATCTGGGGACACTACTAGGGGGAGCAGGAAGGTGGGAAGTGGGATCAGCCAAGTTATTCTCAGGTGGAGGAGGAGCAGGTGGGAGAACTGCATCCTGAAAACCTAGAGGAGAGTATGCAGAGGAGAGGACGATAGGCTGGGTCCAAAGCAGCAGAGAGATGGAGGAAGAGTGAGAAAAGGTTATTGGATTTAGCAAGAGAAATTCCTGGTGGCTCAGAAGAGGGCACTTTCAATCAGGTGGTGAAGATGGAAATCAGATTGCCTGAGGGTGGAGAAGTGAGTGGGAGGTGAGAAAATGACAAAAGAGGAGGGAGAGTGAAACCTGGAGGGCTTCCTGGAGGAAGTGAGCTCAGAACTGGAGGGGTGGGCTGCAAAGGAGACACCTGACATGAGCTTCTCCTTCCATCTCTTGACCTTCCAGCTTCCAGCAGTGGGTAGAGAGCTTCCATGAGAACCCAAGCATCCGAGGGCTGCCGTGTGACACTTATATCAGTCAGACAATTACCTTAGTGAGCTGTGGCCCCCCTCTTCGGTAAGCCAGACCCTAGAGAGGACGGAGAGAAGGGCCCCAGCATGACCTAATGTTCTCCCCATGGGGAGTTGACCCAACTTGTCATTGGGGAGTCGGCCCCTATCCCAGATGTTCTGAGGTCCTTTCCTTCCTGTCCCCAAATCTATCACCCTGAAAAAGGGCCACAGAAAGGGCCCCTCTATACCTTTTCTGGAAACATGGAAAGGGACGCCCATTCTGACCTCAAGAAAAACATCCTTCCCAGAGACACAGAGACATCCTCCTCAGGAACACAGACTTCAAAAGAGACTCCTCCCCACTCTCTGAGAGAAACCTCTCCAGAGACAGAGTGACCCTCAGACACACAAAGAGAACTCCAGAGACAGAGAAACTCCACTAGAAAGCCTACCCAGAGAAAGAGAGATTCCTCCAAGGACAGAGACATCCTCCCATCAGAGATATGGAGAGACCTCTCACAGAGACCAAAGCCATGCCACCTGCCCACCACTGAGATACAGTGTCCAAAGACACAGAAACCCATCCTCCAAATGTGGAGAGATACACTTCCCTTCCTGCCTGCCTGCCCACCCAATACTTCGAGGGAGCCAGCTGGTACCCAAGGCCACCTAGTGATGGGCCCTGGTTTCTCCCCCACAGCTCCCTAGCTGAGCGCCTGTCCCACCTGGGGCCCTCAGAGAGCGAGCCTGCTTGGGAGGCAGCTGCAAATGCTCTTGACCATGTCACCCACCTCTCCCACCGCGTCCTGGCTGACCTGCTCTTTCAAGAACTGCAGGTCAGTCTCAGGAAGCCTCTGGCCCCCCTCCCAAACTGACTAGAAAATGGTGACCTGGGGGTTGTGACAAGGGTCACATTAGGATCAGGCCGAGGTCCAGCCGAGCCAGAGACTGGACTAAGACAAAGAAAGAGAGGAAAGAAAGGGGAGGGAGCAGAATGGAGGGAGGAGAGATATGTTTACACAGAGGGCCCAGCTTGGGGAGGGGGGGGCAGAATCTGGGTCTGGGCCGAAGCTCCCATAGGCTGCCGGTGCGTATTGACTGCTATACTCAGGAATATGGAGGCCTGTGGCTGTGCCTGGGCCTGCTGCTCCAGGATGGATTTGACCTTGTAGGACTCTGTGTGGAATGGGTGGGCATGAATTAGGTGAGCTTCAGCTTTGGCTACATGTGTGTGCTCAACCCCTCCCATCCTCATGAAGACAGTGATGGGCTCTGGGATCCCCCCATTAAGGCTGGAAGGGGGCAGAATTCCTGGTTCTTCTACCTATGGACTCAGTGGCCTGGGTGGGACCTGAAGGGAGCTCTGAGTCAGATGAACTCTGATCTCTCCGTTCTCTGGACAATTCCAGCCCCATTTCTCCAAAGTGATGTGTCACAAGCAGCTGACCATCTCTGAGGCTCTGGATGACATTGTAGGGACCCTGGGAGCTCAGACCTTGGCCCTCAGAAGAATGCATGACCAGCCTTACCAGGTATGAATGGACATGTCCACAGGTGGGAGGGAGTGGATGGTTGGGAAATGGACAGGGAGAAAGGTAGAAAATTGAAGAGGCAAAGGATCCCCCTCTTCTCCTAGTGCCTTTGCCCTTCCTCCCTTCTCCTCTTCTTCCAAAATTGGGTCTCTGTGACTAGTCTAACCCAATCTCCCCCCATATCTATCCTCCTCCGTCTCTCTCTCTTCTCTCTCTCTCTCTCTCTCTCTCTCTCTCTCTCTCTCTGTCTTTCCTCTCTCCTCTCCCTCTCCCTCCCTCCCTCCCCCCACTTTGCCTCCTCTTTCTCCTCTCCTCTTTCTCTCCTCCTCCTCCTCCTCTTCTTCTTCTTCTTCTTCCTCTTCTCTCACTCTCTCCTTTCTCCTCTCCTCCTCCTCCTCCTCCTTCTTCTTCTTCCTCTCCTTCTCCTTTCCCCTCCCCACCCTCTCCCCCAACATTTCCTCTCTCTCATGCCCTTCTCCATCTCTGAAATATCTCCTCCTCTCTATCTCCCTTATATCTCTCCCATTTCCATCACCCAATCTCTCCCCTTACATCTCTTCCTGTTCTCATTTTCCCCATCTCCTTTGTCCTACTGTCTCCCCATCTCTTTCCCTGTAACGTCCCATCATTTCGTCTCATCTTTATCCCCCTCTGTGCCCCTCCAATATCCCCCCCATCTTTCTCCTTCCTTCTGTCCTGATAATCTCTCTCCCCTGCCCCACATCACTGTGTCTCCCCTTAGTACTCACTCTGATATGTGCCTATGCCCTGGTGGGGGAGCTGCACCAAAGGCCCCTGGTGCAGTATGTGGAGATGTATTGCAGGGGCCTGTTCTGGGTGGGTTTCAGAGCTGGGGGTTCTAGCTCTGGCTTCTGGGCTCTAGAGATAAGGATTCCAGGATTAACTTGGTTCAGGGGGAGGCTGATTCTGGAGCTGGATATATGAATAAAGCTCCCAGAACTGTGTTGTGACCATGCCTAGGGTTATGGATCTGTGTTTGGGGTTTCTATAGTTGACTTTTGGGCTGGTGAGGACTACAGAATTTGATGGGCTCTAGCCTGCAGCACTTGGGGAGAATATTGGCTCTAGATATGTTTAGGGGTAGGGCTCTGGGATTGAACTAGGGTGAGAATTAAGCTGGGGGTGTCAACCCCCAGAAACAGTTGGAGAAAGAATGTGGGTTCTCGATATGAGTCTCTGGGTTCTAGAACTGCCTTTGGGAGAGTTCCAAGCCCCATATCTGGATAGAATGATTGTTCTGGACCTGGGTTGGATGGTGAGGATTCTGAGACCTCAATGATATCCCCTCATCTCTCCCAAGGAGGAAGCATGTGGCTGCCCTCTTAGATGTGAGGGCTCTCCAGGGTGCAGCAGCTCATTATGAGTTATTGGCTGTGTCTCGGGGCCTGGAGCAGAGTGAGAAAGGGACTCCTGCCCTTCCCAGGGACTGAGTTTTTTCTGCTGACATTCCTATCCTTGGCCACCTTTCTGTCTGAGCCTCCCCCTCCCTCTTGCCCGACTCACTAGGCCTGATCTTGCCTGCCTGCCCAGCCACTGCCCTCGGCACCCGCTCTGCCTCATGCCCAGCCCTGAGCACACCTGGAATTCTACAACCTGCCTGTGATACTGCTGTCCCAGCCTGGAAGCCTATGTCTTCTCCCTTTCCCCTAACATCTGCTGCTGAGAAAGATTCTGACCCCAAGGATGGATTCAGTCCCTGGGTTTCAAACCAGGTCATAGAGTAAGCGATGTCAGAGCTGGGAGAGTCCTCAGAACAGGAATGTCATAGCTAGAAGAACTCTAGGAAAGTGGAATATTGGAGCTGGAAGGGCCTTTAGAACATGGACCATCAGAACTGGGAGAACTTTTAGAACACCAAATGTCAGAATTGGGAGGAACTTAGAACAGAGAAGGTCAGTGCTGGGAGGCACCTCAAAACATAGAAAGTGAACGTTAGAAAGTTAGGACCTAGATCAATAATCAATCAATAAACATTTATTAAGCACCTACTACGTGCCAGCCACTACACTGAGTGCATGGACTATCAGGGTGGGAAGATACATCAGATCATGGAGTTTTATTCCCTCATGTTAGAGACAGGAGAACTGAGGCTCAAGAGTGAGGAAAGGGACTTCTCCCTAGGTCACACAGCAAGCCAGTGGCAGAGCTGGGAGCCAGGGCTGCTCCGGAGTTAGGGTAGGTCCCATAGAAGTAATGGAGGCTGTGCCTTGCTCTGCCCAGCCTCCATCTCTCTTCCCTCTAAATGTCTTCTTGGTGGCTGCTCATGTAATAAGGAATGTATGATGATAAAATAAATATGTTTCTATTTAACGAGCAACTGAGGCTTAGTTCTGTTTTGGGAGGTGGGGGTGGATGGCAAGTGGGGAGGCACCAAGCAGGCCCCTGAGGCAAGGTCGGGGCACCAAGCCCTCTCTCCCACATCGAGCTGGGGCACAAGTTAGGGGTATGAACCCCAAGGTGGCTAGGGTCCCCTAGCAGGAATCTCCCTGCAAAAGGAAGAAGGCTTGGCCTTCCCTTCCAAGGACTCCCAGTCTGAGCAGGAAACATGGCCCTATGCCTTACCACTGGCTGCTTTAGGTCCCCTCCATAGGACTCTCCTTTCTGAAGGAACCTCATTTACATCCTATACCAGGAGAAGGGAACAGTCTAGGGAAGAGGAAATGAAGTGGTTCCCCTCTTACTCCTCTCCTTCCCTCAAAGGTTTCAGATATCTAGGAGTTTATAGGATAAGATTTAGAGCTGAAAGGGATCTCAGAGGCCAGATGGCCAACGCCCTTTTACAGATAAAGAAAACCAGTCCCCGTAGGGAGTTGTCCAAGGTCACAAAGTTAATGAGTGTTAGAAGCAGGATTTGAACTCGGTGCTGTGAAAAGGGGCATCTGGTCTCAGCTGAACTCCTCACACCCTGCCACACCTGAGCTGCCACACTGGCTGCTTCCAAGAAGGCTTCCAGGGCCAATCCTCCGCCATCCTGGGAGTTTCAGGGAGTCCTACAGACAATGGAGGGAAGGCAGGGCCTTCTCCAATCTCTTCTTCCCAGTCTCTGGCCTTGGGTAAGTGGGTAAGCTCCCTTGGCCCCAGAGCTAGGAGTGGGAAGTTGGGCCCTGCCCCCCTCTGCCTCACTATGAGACCCTGGCCTAGGTCCGACTCCTTCCCTTGGTCTCCGTTTCCCCATCTGTCTAGAGGATTTGGCCCAGGCGACCTTTGCGATCCCTTCCTGCCCTGACACTCCGGGATTTGGTGACTCCCTGCTGGGTCCCCAGAGGCCCTGGGAAGGAGACAGAATTTGATTTCTTTCCTTGTTTTTCTTCCTCAAGGGGAGGGGAAGGGAGATAGCTAAAGGCAGCCAAGAGGGAGGGCCGAATTCTGCCCTCTGGGAGCCACCCCTCCCAGCTTCCAGCTAGAGGTGTTCAGAGGGGGTGAGGGGAGGGAGCTGTGGTGGTGGGGAAGTGCAGGGGGAGGGGTACAGGGGGAGAGGGCTGTGACATGCATGGGGGGGGTGGCAGGAGGCGAAGGCGCTCTGCTTGTTCTAAGGCAGAGAGCCTTGAGACCTTTCCTGCCTCTGCCCCTCCCTGGGTGGGTTTGCTGAGTGACTTTAGTCAAATGCATTCCCCTCTCTGAGCCTTGGCTTCCATGCCATTGGAAAAATGAAAGTGGCACATGTGGAGGGCAATGGCCCAGCTTGAACCCAAGACCTGGAATGTCAGACTTAAGAAGATATAAGGGACTGGTCCCAGGGGCTGGCAAGGAATTTGGGAAATTCATCACAATCCATCCCTCCCACCACTAATTTTACAGAAGGGAAAATGAGACTAGGAACAGAAAGTCACTTGGCCAGGGTTACAGAAAAAAGGGATTGAGCTCCAGACGGGAACCAGAATTCCTGGGGCCTGTAAATTTCACAGTGTATGAACTCCCCTCCACCCTAGCCTGGAGTCTGTGACAACTTCTAAGAGTGGGGAGCTGGCAGGGAGGGAGGGAGGGAGGGAGGAGGAGGAGGAGGAGAAGGAGGAGAGGAGGCATCCTCCTGCATCTCCCCCATCACCCCTGCCCTTTCTGCTCTCTGGGATGCCTTCAGTATCTGGAGGGCTGTCCATAGGCAACAGAGGTCAGGCTGCCTCTCCTGGGCCCCACTCAGCAGACCTGCGAGTGTTGAGGGGTGGAGGTGGGGTTCAGTCCCGGGACTCCCAGCGCGACTGTGGGCTGCGGTGGCACCAGGATGGCAGTGAGTGTGCTGGGACATGCAGCTATTGATAAGACAGATAGCTGGCTAAAGGGAAAACAATTTATTATAACAAGTTACAGCTACAGCTTCTCAGGGCTAGGGTTTCTCCTCAAAGGGACCCTAGAAAGCAGGACAGAGGGATGAGCCAAGCAGAGGAAACCCCTCTGTTTGCCCCCCTCTTCCCACCACCAGCAGCAGTCATCACCCCTCCCCCGACAAAGGGCCTCCAATTGAGCCCCCCTCCTTCCCACAACTTCTTCAGGATCTTCTGGATGCATTGAACAGAGAGTAGAAGAACATCAGAGTCGGGATGATGAATTTGAAGTTGGAGTTCAGGGGCCACAGCAACAAACCCTGAGGAAAGGAGGGAGCACAGTGGTCAGGAGGCAGCCTGGCCTCAGCCTGGCTCCCAGGCCCAGAGCACTGGGGCCTGGGGCACTGCCCCCTCAAGGCCTCCTCAGACACCTCCAGGAGAAACAGAGCCCAGCAGATGACTGCTGACTTAGGAACATTAGCCGTGGAGCACAGTTGTATTTACCTTCATAAGTATTTCCCAATTACATTTTAAGGTGGTCTGGGGAGCATTTTGGTGTTTTTCTGTCCAGGAGTTCTGATATCTCTAGACTACATGATCTCTAAGGCCCTCTCAACTCTCACATTCCCTGTTCTAAGAGCCGTCCCAGCTCTCACATTCCATGTTCAAAGTCCCTCCCAGCTCTTGCATTCTCTGTTCTAAGGTCCCTTATACTTCTGATATTCTCTATTCTCAGGTGTTCCTTCCACCTCTGATAGTCCAAGATTCTTCCACATGACTGCTATACATTATACTGCCAGTCAGCCAGTAAGCATTTATTAAGACCTTACTATGTGCCAGGTATTGTGCTAAGTGCTGGAAATACAATTACAAGCAGAAACAAAGACATTCCCTGGCTCAAGAAGCTTTGCTTCTAATGGAGTGCTAAAAAGAAGCTGAAAAACGGGAAGAGAAAAGGTAGGGGAAGTTCTGTGCAGATGACTGCAATGCAGCCTGGAGAGGGCTGAAAATAACTGTTGCCTGGCCTTCCCCTTACAATGGAAGTTCTGGAAGGAACCAATCAATCAGGAGGTGAAGCCTCACAGGGCAGAGAATGTTGTGGATGAGGCAGCTGGTAATGCAGTAGATAGAGTGCTGGGCTTGGAGTTAGAAAGACCTGAATTTGGGGCTCTTACGTGGCACAGTGTCTGAAATCAAAAGGACCTGAGCTCAAATTTGGCCTCAGACCAAACACTTGACACTTGTGCTGTGTGACCCTGGGCAAGTCGCTTAACCCCAACTGCTTTCAAAGAAAGGAAGGAAGGAAGGAAGGAAGGAAGGAAGGAAGGAAGGAAGGAAGGAAGGAAGGAAGGAAGACCTAAATTCAAATCTGTTCTCAAACACTTAGTAACTATGCTACCCTGGGCAAGTCACTTAACCTCAACCTGCCACAGTTTCCCCACCTGTAAAATGGGGATAATAACAGCACCTACCTCCCAGGGTTGGCATGAGAATCAAATGAGATATTTGTAAAGGGCTTAGCACATAGTAGATGTTATAAAAATGTTTCCTCCCCTTCCTCTCATCTATTCATTTGTTCTCCAATTGTGTCCAAATCGTAACCCATTTTGGGGTTTGCCATTTCCTTCTCCAGATGAGAAAACTGAGGCAAACAGGGTTAAGTAACTTGCCCAGAATCACACACCTACTAAGAGTCTGAGGCTGAATTTGAACTCAGGAAGATGAGTCTTTCTGACTCTAGTCCCAGAGATCTACCCCACCCAGCGCCACCTAGCGGCCCCCATGTATTTATGCTGTATGAATTAAGAGAGGTTACCTTGTGTTCTAATCTTCATATTGCTAACAGATAACTGTCTGGGAGGCAGCCTCTGGCATATACAGTATCAACATCATTTAACATTGTATAAATTATGTCCCTACTGTTTCTAACGCTTTGGTATTATCTGACATGCTGTAGAGTACACTCTGTTCACTTCAAGGCTTCGCACACAGCAGGTACTGGATAAATAGAATTCAGCCTCTGTGCTCGAAAACCCTGGGACTGGGGTGCACAGTTCTGTGAAGGGGAAAGAGTCAGATGGCCCGGGGGTTCTAGTCTACCCAGGAGGCCATTGAATCCATCCCACACAGGAACAGAATATTCACTAGAAGACACCCAGCACATGCTACTCCAGCCTCAGCCTCAAGACCTCTAAGGAAGGGGAACTCGCCTCTCAAGGCAACCCGGTGACCTTTGCAACAGCTCTTATCCTCAGGAAGTTTGTCTTGATCTCAAGCCAAAACTGGCCACTTTTCAGTCCCTTCTTCCCCTTGCCCCACCCCACTGCCAGCCCCTCTGCTCCCAGGTCTGCCCTATGAGGCCAAAGAACATAGCTAATTCCCTTCCTGCACGCAAGTACTAGAAAACAGCCATCATGATCTCCTTCTCTCTTCTCCAGATTGTGTACCACCAATGCCCTCAGCTGATGGTATACTCTGGATACCAAGCCCTCCTCTGTCCTGGTTTCCCACCACTGGAAATTTTCAGCCATTAATGTCCTTCTTAAACCATGGTGCCCAGAACTGAACACAGGCCTCCTCATCAAGTATGTGGGACTACCACCTCTTATTCTTGGAAGCTACTGCCCCACTTACATGGTTCAAGATCAGCTTTTTGGGGCACCCATTACATGGCTGACTCTTATAAGCTTGGTCTACTAACCCTCAGCTCTTTTCAGACACACTCCTGCTTCACTATGTCTTTTCCATCGTATACCCTTTCTGGGTTTCACTGCCATATTCTGTAAAATGAAGCAACTGGATGCAAAGTGGTCAAGCAGATAACTTGCCAGCACTATAGTATATGATGAAAAATTATGTTTCCTTTAAAAATAAAAACAATATTTGGTAAACTTTTCTAAATGGCTCACTGGGGCAGCTAGGTGGCACACTGAATAGAACATCAACAACTGGAGTCAGGAGGACCTGAGTTCAAGTGTGACTCCAGATCTTACTAGTTGTGTCACCCTGAGCAAGTCACTTAACTCCAATTTCCTTTTTAAAAAAAAAATAAGCTCACCCATCTCTCTGCATCCTTGGGCAAATCTAGACCAAGTCATAAACTCCTTGGCAGTCAGTTCATCACCCTAATATTAGATGGAACCGTGGGAAATCACCTATCCAGAGTCCATTTATCTAATGTCCTAATCTCTAAGAAGTCAGCATTCAGGACAACCTATTGTTGCCTTTTGTATTTCTGTCTTTTGCTCCATCACTTAATTCCATCAGTCACCCTGCCCTTCTCTAGTTAACTCCATGTACCCTCTAATCCTTTTTTAAAAAATTAAATTAAATCTATTTCCTCTCCTTCCCACTTTTCCTGTTTAAAAAGGAAGGAAAAAAAAGCCCTTGCAATAAGATGCCTAATCAAGCACAGCAAAATCCCACACTGGCCATGTCCTAAACCTTAGGTCTTGATCTGCACCCTGAGTCCATCCCCTTCTGGCGGGTGGGTGCGTGGGGAGGTGGTCCATGCATCTCCAGTCTGCTAATTCTAATCTTCTTTGGACTTAGAGAACCAGAGCACCAAGGTTGTAAGAATTTTGTGTTGAATAAGAGCCAATAGGTTTAGAATAAATACCCAGTGGGTTCTCCTTGAAGAAGATGAAGATGCTTGCATGCACATGCACACATTTTGGAGCTAGGGTGTTTCTTTTGGGGGTCTTGTCATATTCTTCATTGTTTCTGGACCAATGACTTCTAGAGAAAACATATCAAATAAGTAAGGCCCAGTGACCTCAATTCGGAAGGACAGAGTTCTTGTGAGCTGATTTGTAGCCACCAAGTTCCACATACCTGCACTCTAGGCTGTTGATAAGAGCCCTAAACAAAAGTTACCACAGTGGGTTCTAGGTAACTACATCTGCATCATTGAATTTTATAGAACTGGCTAGGTTCCTGACAACCAAGTTCTAGAGAGTCTGCCCTATAACTGAAGGGACCCCCCCCAACAAAAGCCAAGGTCTTAGGCATTGGTCAGAGGCTTTGGATAAGTGAGTTCCCATTTCCTGTCAATTATGACAACTGGCACCTGGGAATGGTTCCAATCTGTAAATCTGGTGGGGCATTTCCTTCAAGGCCTCAAGATTCAGTATCAGACCCAGGGAGGAGGGGGGTTGCTCTGATGACTTTCTCAGAACATCTGAGCCCTCCACAAGCCATGTGGCTGAGAAGCTGAGGGGCCAATGGGCCAGCATTGACAGACAGGCTGTGGCACCCTCTCAGTGCCCCAGCAACTCAACACTCTAGACTGCAGACAAGCTGTATTGGGAGAGGGAAGGTCCTCACCAGAGTTCCCTACCTCCTATGAAATCACAGGCAGGAGCTCATCTCTCCAAAAGGAGGACTCAGAGCTGTGAGGGACCATGGAGATCACCTGATTACAGCCACTCTCAGTTCACATGTGGAAAAATATTGAATTCTGGAGATTTGGGTCTTAGAATCACAGATTTAGAGATGGAAGGAAGGACCCTGAGCCACTCACCTCATTGTACAGGAGAGGAAACTGAGTCTCAGAGATATTCAGTGACTTGCTCAATACCTCACAGCCAGGACTGGAATTTCCTAATCCAGTATTCTTTCCTGTGTACCAGACAAACCCTGGGCAAGGTGACTGATGAGGTCAGTACATGGCAAGGCTAGGATTTCAGCCCAGGTCTTTGAATCCAAATCCAATGTTCTTTCCATGACACTATAACTGGGCAGACATCTGTCTTCATTCATGCCTCCCATTCTTTTGTGAACCCCATGGGTTTTGCTCAAAAAAACCCAATATATCCCCTCACCCCAATACACACACACTCCAACGATTCAACCTCTACCCAGGTGTGTACAGATAGGTGACAATGGCTAGAGCACTGGACCTGGAGTCTGGAATACCTGAGTTCAAATCCAGCCTGAGAAACTTACCAGTGTGTGACCCCAGACAAGTCACTGAACAGCTGTCTGACTGTTACTTCAACTGGAAAATGAGGATAATAACAGCACCTATCTTGCCAGGGTTATTGTGAGGACCATATGAGATCTTTGTAAAGGGGTTACAGAGTTCCTGCATGAAGAGTATCCTTCCTTCCCTCCTTAGCCAACCCATCAGCCAGGAGTTGTCTGGACACCTTCCCTATTAGTTCAACCCAATGGGCACCCCAGTCACTCACGTGGACAGAGTGTAGGAAACACCCCCAGGTGAAGTTAGAGACGCCTACAGTCCAAGGCTTCTCTGGCAAAGTCATCTGAAGACTTCACCAAGAATTTTGTGGGTGCATCTGGCTCATGTTGCTGGAAACTGCCAGAGGAGTAAGAGTCTGGAGAAAGAAGTTGATGAGTACATAAGGGTCATAGCTCTCACTCTACCCACCTCCCAAAGCTTCCTCCCCTTAGCTGTCACCCATCTTTGCCCCCACCCTCCTGCTACCTCACCAAACCTGCTGCCTCTCACCATCCCACTTACCTTGACCCCCTTGCCCTCTTCCCAAGCTCTCCCCCATCTCTCAGCTCCTCACAGACTTTCCCATCCATCTCTTCAGGCCCTAACAATCACACAAGCACATTCACACTCACACCCACACCCATACCTGTATGATAACTCCAGAGGACTGGTATTCCAAGGCCACAGCCCGAGAGAAGCTATTCATAAAGGCCTAGGAGAGAGAGGGTGAATCACAGAATTTTAGCATCAGAAGGGACCCAGAGTACACTTAGTGGAACCCACCCCTGAAGAGGAATCTTCACTACACCCTCAATGAGAAGTAGTACTCCAGATTCTCCTGGAAGACCTCCCAAGATGGACGCTCACTACCTCCCCAGGCAGCCTCCACTCTGGGGCAGCTCTCATTGACAGGACCCTTGTTCTGCCCTGAACACCTCATTGCTCCTGGTTTCCCTCTGGGTACCGGGGCAGCTTGTTC